AACAAACAAAAGAAGAATCATTTCTTTCTCCAATTAATTGCCCTGAAAACATTGATTCCCAAAATCAGTTTCCTTCCTTGAAAAACGCATCAGATGAAGAAGGTCCTCATACAAACAAGCATTCTTCCTCTCACACCTGGTACCGAGTCTTCTCATTAAAATGATAGTCACTATTTTAAGTTGCCAACAACTTCCCTTAATACTATGGGCTTCTAAAACATCTCAAAAATAATTCGGCGGAGGGCACACAGAAAGAAAAGTATTGCATCTAGCTCACTGAGAAATCGACAGGAAGGTCCACTCTCCCCGTGTCAATGAATTAGGAAGAGTGGTACGACCAGTTGTTTGTTAAGCTTCTTAAATCGTCTGTGGAGTTCATGTTGAGGAGCAAACCCAGACCCTCTTTCTCGTCAGCACAGTGATTAAACAACCCTGCTCCCTCATCATGGGATCTCAATAGACACTATCTGCGCTATGGGGTAAACAGGAGTCCCTTCATCCATTTTACACCTGGGAAAGTGAAGTAATAATGCATGTCTTCCTTCAACGGAAAAGGTCAAGGAACCTGCATAGGGCTAGGGCATCCACTCTTTGCCATGAGACAGTGGTTCTCAGCCTTGTTTGCACTTCAGAATCCCCTAGGGAGCTTTGACAAAACACCAATACCAAACCAGACCAAAATGCCAACCGAGACTAAACAAACGCCTGAAAAAGCTCCCAAGGTTATTCAAAGGCACAGTACTGAGAACCATCTTTGGCAAATACCAGTTTTCTTTCTCTCACTTTCGTTTCTTCAATGGCTATATGTAACCAATAAGAAAGTGAAAGGATTGTGAATGACAGAGTGGCAGAGCATTAGTAAATAAGTCATAACAATGGCGACAGATTGTTCTCAGCCTAACCAAGTACATTCTCAGGTAAGACAGAAACAAAAAAAAAGCCAATAAAAAACACAATTCAATAAAAAGCAGAAACAAACCCATTCATAAAGGCTACTAAGTTCATTCAGCACATATCTATTTACACACACTGCTATACACACCATGTTTTTTCTGGTTTATTTATTTATTAAAGAGCAAATTTTCAAACAAATGCCCATACAGAGGCATGAGTGTCCCAAATGGCAGGAATACATGCTACGGAAATTCTTTCCAACATCTGTGAGTAATTTTGTACAATACATCATTGCTCCTATGCATTCACCTTAAAGAAAAAAGATCAGAGCAGAATAACCAAACATCCAAATGCAGTAATAGTTTTTCTCTCCTATTAGGCATGATCTGAAATCCATCAATTTTTTCCAGAGGGAACTTCACTAGTAACACTTTATTCCTGAGCACAACTGGGTTCTTAAGACAACCAGTACTTCGCGTACCGGCAGTAACACTAGGGGAAAGACTATGACTCAAAGTATCCTCGTCTAACGAGAAACTCCAAACACGAGAAACAATTAAGTAATGAATGGGGATTTTCCTAGTCCAGTCTTGCTATTCCCCACCATCCAAAGAAATCACAGTACTATTATTCAATATGCCCCAAAGAGTGCAGACATGAACTTTTACAATTCTAGGATCTTAAAACGCATGCACATATATGACCTTCACACACATATGAACGGATGTAACAAATTAGGTTTGTGAAAAACACTACCAAGTTACACAATACTCTCAAAGTGAAAATACCAGGGACGGGGGGGTTTACTCAATTCCATCTACAGACCATTAGTCAAAGGCACCTGACAGTTTTATAAATGCTCGACTTGAAGCTCTTTGTTAGTGAAACCTCATACCACAAAACTATTGTGGCTTAATCTCCCCTCCCCTTCTCCCGGAATCCTTTTCTTTCAGCTCTGCCAAATAACTGGCTCCCAATGTGTTTGTTCTGTGTGTCTCTTTGTTTTTCCCAAAAGGGAAAAATTAATGGTCAAGTGGGTTTAATTTTTAAATTGGTACAAGAGCTTTAACATGCTGCAGTGAGAAAAAATGCAAATGGAACGCTCTTGCAAATGGTTGCACATTAAACATACATCTATGACCCAGGCCTTTACGAAGACGAGTTCTTAAATTCTTTGGAGGTCAGAAGTTTAGTTTATTCAGCAAGAATAACTCTATTAACAGCTCCAGCTCCTTCTTGTCACCACAGTAAACATCCACACATTCCAAATCCTGGAAAATGTGAGGCAGTAAAAAGAAGGCTGGAGCTGCCAACAGCCTGAAAACCTTCTAAAGCTATCAGTCTGTTGTATTAATGTGCAAAGATATCCACAGAGATGGATGGATCAGAGAACATATAAAAGCAGCTAGGTTGGACCCAGGAGACCAATTTTGTCAGAGGACAGAGTGGAACTGGTGAGGCTTTATGTATATCACTATCAAATAATAATAGTAGTAATCATATCTTACAGCTCTGTAAGCATATGCGCAGAATTCCACATCAACTTAGGTACTGCTATAGTTTTTAAACACCCATTTTTCCCTAAATAATCCTATCTTTGAGAAGAGGCTAAGGTTAAAAGTCAAAACTAAGCAGACTTCTAAGCAAAGTGAAAAATAACCCAAGCTTTATAGCTGTTCCAGAAAGTCTGTGGCTAATTTTACAGCATCTACCACCCAGTGAGGTCACACTGCAGGAACTCAGTCCTACTCCACACTTGAATAAATAAAATCATGACAAGCAATAAACTGATGGGCGTGCTAAGACACAGCTAAGAAATGGGAAGGCAGCACTTCACCCTAATGAGTAAATTATCCAAGTACAAAAAAATCTGATGTTCAAGTTTAGGGAAATTAACCCTTATTCTTTCTGTTTCTGAAAATTTGCACCTGAACAAATTCACTGTGGCCTTATTAATGTCTTGATTCCTTTTTTAGACGTTCACACTGAAGTGTCAGTCTGAAAGCCTTATCCACCATTTCCCTTAGAGAAAATCTAAGGGAAGACAAATTGTGCACAGCCCAAGAGAATAACGCGATAGAAGCTTGCTGCCCATATGGGACCCCTTGTACAGGAGGGTGGCTGAACAGGCAAGCAAGATGAAACAAATTCTATCTACTTCTACATCAATTTCTCCCCATATGGTTCCACAGTATTGTTTTAAATGGCTTCCCAGCCGGGCACGGTGGCTCAAGCCTGTAAATCCCAGCACTTTGGGAGGCCGAGGCGGGTGGATCACAAGGTCAAGAGATTGAGACCATCCTGGTCAACATGGCGAAACCCTGTCTCTACTAAAAATACAAAAAATTAGCTGGGCATGGTGGCACGTGCCTGTAATCCCAGCTACTCAGGAGGCTGAGGCGAAAGAATTGCTTGAACCCAGGAGGCAGAGGTTGCGGTGAGCCGAGATGGCGCCATTGCACTCCAGCCTGGGTAACAAGAGCGAAACTCCGTCTCAAAAAAAAAATGGCTACCGACAATATCTAAAAAACTCAAATTAAAAGTCCAAGGAAAGAAGAGATACAAAACTCAAAAATTTCTAAAGCTAAAAAAAAAGTACATTTTAATCACTTTCGTCTAAGCAAACAAGAGCTGACCATAGCTACTTTCAGTCCCTTTCTCTGATTCTTTCTTGTATATTCTTTATTTATATTTACCAGTGCTATGTACTAATATTTTTATTTAATTATGAAACATATCCTACAAGACTATGTCTAATGTTATATGTAGAATTCAGAGTTCTCTAAGAATCTTTGTTTTCTATCTTGAAGCAGCTTGAGCTGTTTTCTACCTTTTTTAAGAATTATGCTTAACACTTGTCATCTGATTTTCATTGATTTTTATTCTCTTCGTTCATCTCCCAGTTTGTCGCTATCTTAAACTATTTTTTTATCAACTACTTCTTGCCCAGCAATTACCCTCAATATATCGCCATTCCCCATCCACTCAGCCACTTTTGAATACATGTCACCTTCTCCCTTTGAGTTGCAGCCCTCAATTTTTTACCCTTGATTCAGACGAATCAAATGAATAATTGTGAGTCTCAGGCCCTTCTTGTTACCCTCATCCTGCCCTTACTCCTCTGGCAAATAACCATGATCTCAATGACTGTCATCTCCTTTATCTCTGACCAATCTAACTTACAGGGGGAAAAGTCCCTCCACGCCTTCATTTTCCTTTGCTCCCTGGTGCACTCTGAAGCACCCTGGGGCATGCTTCTTCCCTTGGCTCTTCTACTCTTCTCATTCCCTAGTGGAGCACTGCAGCTCTCCTTGGCAGTTTTCAATCACTGGTTGGCTTGTTGATGACACTGACTATATGAAACACTTTGTACCTGGTGATCCTGTGCTATGAGACATGGCCAACCATGATTTGGACTGACTATCAGCATGGCATATGCTCTCATTTACATTCCAACAGTAATGATAGATTAATCCTGATCCATTTCCTTTGAACCTTGTTTCTCTCGTGACTAATGCATTGCCTTTGCCAAATGGCTTGCCGAGTTAAGGAGCAGAAAATGTTCTACGTCTCTGGCCGTAGAAGAGAAGTGACCGGCTTAACTGGGGCTTAAGTCTTTGGCCCTGGCCTCATTATTCCTGAGCACCAACTGGCCACACCACATCATGACAATGGTCCTCACTATGTGCAAGAACCCTGGCTCAATTCAGAAAGGAAACATAAGCCTGTACAACACAGAAACCACCATGGCAAGACAAACACATTGGCTGGCACCCTAAGAATTAAATTAACTTGAGCTCCATCCCCCTTCCTAATTTTCACAATACCTTTTAGGGGAAGAGTAAACCCTGACCCTGCTTCTCACAGTCCTTCCATGTTAGCACTTAAAGAAGAGAATCACTTTTAGAATACCCGACTCATCCACATGTAAAAGCAGCCATGCACACGACAAACACAGCTCTTATTTCAACACAAATCCAGAGAGTATAAAAAACCACTTTTCTTTCCTCTCTGAATACAGCAAAACAAATTCTCCTCATAGGTGGACATAAATACATCATGGGGAAGAGGGCATGGGGAAATATATAAAAATAAATTGTATTTACCTTCTTCTGTTTCATGCCACACGATCCCTTCCAAATTCACACTGGTCCCGGGTTCACAGGGCCCAAGACACTCTGGCTCTGTCACTACTCCAACTTCACATGTATTGACACCCACAGAACGAGTCCGAACCAAAAGCTGTTCAACCGGTGCTGCAATATTGGATGAAGATGGGGAAAAGTAGGAGGGTAGAATCTGAGGCGTGAGACTGCTGGAAATCGGCGGTGGTGGCGCTGGCACTGTAAACAGGGGGTCAACCTGAAAGACAGACAGGCTTACTGCAGAGGTGCTGCATTCTGTGAATTCCTTTTAATGCAATTTGCTTATATCACTTCTAGAATATATCACCATTCCAAATTCCATTTGCAATTATAATATGCTTTGAGTGTTTTAATGGTGCCAAAATATAAAGTAGAATAGAAATGAGCATTTTCTTTTTTCATGCCAAACAAGGTAAACAGAGGGCTAGCGCCCTGAATCATAAGCAGGCCTTCAGTGTTCTTCTGAATTCATCAGTGGACGACTGTTAGCCTCAGCAGATGTGAATGAAACATGTTTTGCAAAATTAAGCCTACTTCTCACATGTAACAAAATCTTACTTAAAAAATTATAACATTTTCCAAAGGAGAAACGCCAATAAACACTAATAATTTAAGAGATGAACTAAAATTGTTTTCAAAGTACTTTATAAACCATAATGAATTAAATCACTACTAAACTATATCAGCTTTGCTGAATACATAAAACATATAAACTTTATTATCTACACTGAAACACATAAACTGGATATTGTTTGCATGTATTAAGCACCAACTCCTAATTAAGTGTTCTACTGTAAAGTTTAGCAGAATTCATGCAAGGCGGGAAATGAATGCATGTACCCAACATCAACATAACCTGAGTTTCTCCGAGGCACAAATCCTTCCGTGGTTAAACTGCTAAAGATCCCTAATGAGTTTGATTAAGGCTCAGCCACTGTCTCTCTAGATACAGGAAATATAAATCTCAGCCAATCACAGATCTTGTGATGCAATGATATCTCTTTTGCACCGCTATCCCCAGGAGAGCAGCAAAGGAGTTCTTCATCACAAAAAGTTTGAAAGTCTGGCCACAAAGAAACCAAAGGCTATGCATGTACAAGAGTACATTCATTTGTCCCATCGTCACAACTGTAGGACTGCTATAGAGAGCTTTCACACTGATGATTGGTTGTGAGAATGCCAAATGTAAAGCCCACTTGTACCAGGACTCCAGATTACCTATGTCTTCATGTTGCACATAGAAACGGCCTACATTTAAGGGATGACACCTCGCATGTATTATCAGGTGGGCTAACAAATCCTATATGTAAAAAGGACACATCAAAGATCATTCTGGTAAAATGCTACCTTATTCTACTGTTCACAGATTCCCAGTTATCCGCTGTAAATTATCTTTAGTAGCCACTTGGCTATAGGCATAATAGTATATAGTCTGTTGGTTTTTTTTGAAAAGAAACAAAACGAAGAGTGTATTTCAAGAGTCATATGAGGAAGTGTGCTCCTAGTGAAACAGCTGAAGCAGTCATCTGTGTGGGCTTCTTGTTCATATGACTGTAGGAACTATTTCTACAGTTTGCATTTCACTAAAATGATAAACTGACGTTCACTTGCCTGAGTGATCCAAGATGCAACAGAACAGCCTTTCACCCATCTGCATGTTAAAAAAACTTAATTTCCTGCTCTCAAAGCTGCCATAAAACTTCTTTTGCTCCATGCTTTTTATTGTTCTGCATTCTTGATCACAGAGCCCAAGAAAGAAAAGCATTTAACAGCCCCGAGCCCCAGATACTGTGATTTATGCTTTTGTGTAAATGTAGCTTAATGTGGATCAAAGTTCACACTGATAGTTCTTATTTTAAAACTGAGCTGACAAATGAACAAAGGGGTTCTGAGAGAGAGGAAATTTAAGGGGGAAAAAAACAATGCTACCTCGTAGCCTTTATTACCACTAAAAGACTGGCTGAGATCAGAATCACTTTCCAGAATTAAAAATAAATAAAAGACCAAAGAAAATGATAAACCCGTTGGTTTTTCTGCACGCTTTCCAACTTCTTAATTTGTATAGTTAGTTGTAAATTGACTGCAACTTGATGTCATGTGTATAAATTGAAAAGACAAAATAGAACATTATTCTGCAAACGCTCTTCACATCACCTGATCGACAGCCTACATTAATACCAAAGGAACAAATGTAGCTTGAATTGGATACACAAAAAAATGGAAGAAATGTAGAGGTGAAGAGTCTTCCAGTGTATCAGTTCTCTGGTTTGGAGATGAGAACACAATGAGGCAATAAGAGTTATGGTGGCAAGACATGCTAACCCTAGGACTGGCACCTACAATAGTCCAATATTAACTAGCTTATGACCCTGGAGAGTCCTTGAACCTCCATTTTCCTTCTAGTTGAGGAAAGTTCTTGGCCAGGCATAGTGGCTCACACCTATAATCCCAACATTTTGGGAGGTCAAGGCGGGAGTATCACTTGAGGCTGAGAGTTGGAGACCAGCCTGGGCAACACAGCAAGAACCCCATCTCTACAAAAAAGAATTTAAAAATTAGCCAGACACGGTGGCGTGTGTGTAGTCCCAGATACTTAAGAGGCTGAGGTGGGAGGATCAACTGAGCCCAAGAATTCAAGGCAGCTGTGAGCTATGATCATGCCATGGCACCACAGCCTAGGCAACAACCAGGCCCCTGTCTCTTAAAAACAACAACAACAAGGGCCGGGCGCGGTGGCTCACGCCTGTAATCCCAGCACTTTGGGAGGCCAAGGCAGGTGGATCATGAGGTCAAGAGATTGAGACCATCCTGGTCAACATGGTGAAACCCCGTCTCTATTAAAAATACAAAAAATTAGCTGGGCACGGTGGCACGTGCCTGTAATCCCAGCTACTCAGGAGGCTGAGGCAGGAGAATTGCCTGAACCCAGGAGGTGGAGGTTGCGGTGAGCCGAGATCGTGCCCTTGCACTCCAGCCTGGGTAACAAGAGCAAAACTCCATCTCCAAAAAAAAAAAAAAAAAAATGCATTCTTCAGCCACCTAATAGTGATGACAAATCCTATCAAAACAGTTTCTAGACTAAATCCTCATTTCAACATAACTCCACCTATACATACCTATAGATATACCTGCATGCAGAAACACACACACACACACACACCTCTCTTTTTTTTTCTCTCTCTCTCTGGGAATATTTATGTAATTTCTAAGATCAAATTTCTATGGAATCTGGCTGCCTTGAAGGGAGAAGCCAGAGTACTCTGGGCCTACCTGTAAGTTAATTGTGTTTGTTTCCAGTAACATGATTCAAATGTAACCATGAGGGTTCAATTGATATTTATAGAAAGAACCTTTTTGTTTTAAAATAAGAAAGCTAAGGTTCAGAGTTTGACTATAACTATAAACTTAATCATAAATAGCACCTCAATGCGATAATAGTCTAAAAGCCTTAAACCCGATAGTTGCTATTGTTTCAAGGTTCACATCTTTGACTTGGACAAGTGTATTTCTCTCTTTGTTTTTCAACTGTAGTATCGGCTGTCTCATGGTGGCTCAGAACTGCCATTCCCATAGGTACCAGACCAGCACTACCAGTGAGGAGAACCTTCCCCTCATTCCCTGTGAGATGTCGGGACTGGGGAGGAGGTGGAGCACAAAGTCTACCCATATGACCTACCATAGGCCCCTCTTCCTTGGAGGTCACCAATTAGAATGGAATTTGCAGATGGGGATTACAGCCACTCCAAAAGGTGTTTTTATGTGGCAAGTATGTTACTTTTTAAAACTCCAATTTTTTTTTTTCACCAACACTTTAAAAATTAGGGAAGAACTTAAATGTATCCTATTTCGTAAAATAACAACTAGATAATATGCTCTGCTGGGCCCACATTTTTCATGGCATTAACAGGGCTGAGCTTCACTGCAGCCTTGCCACATGACTTGCCCAACCAGAGGCTGCTGGAGCTTGTGCTTCCAGCCTCTCCCTGAAACAATCACAGAACATCGCCTAGCCTGCCCTACTCAGTTGAGGGAAAACTATGGCTCATATTTGCACAAGTGTAATAAGCTATCTCTAGTGGCAGCCCAGGTACACATAAAACAATGGCATCCTAGAAGCAGAAAATTGACAGGAGTTCAACATACACTGGGAAACCGAAGAAGGGTGGAAGGGAAGTAATTCAAAGAGTGTGGCCAATTCTTTCTGCTAGGTAATGCACCCAGTGGGAGCTGCTCCCCTCAAAAGGTTTCAGTTCTCTAGTGTATCTCAGTGTCAAACATATATCATATGCAAAGCAGCATTTTAAAGCATTTTCAGTAGTTATTTTTGCCTTATCCAAAAGATCAACTCCACTGTACCCTGATTTCTCAGGTCACTGATCCATACACGAAACCATAATTTCTTCAACCAATGAAGGTCATTACGGCAGAGGGTGGAAAGAGTTTCCACAAGGACTCCCTCCAGTGAGGAGGCACACCCTGAACCTCTGGTTCTGTGAGCAGACAGAATTGGGTTCAAATGCTGACCCTGTCAGTACTTGCTGTGTGGGACCCTGAGCAAGTTGCTGGGCTTCTCTTCGCTAAGACTCAGTGTCTAGTTCTAAGAAATGGGAGTCATAATAACAATTACCCCCACAAGGATTGCAGTGAAGACTCGGTGAGATAATCCATGCAAAGTGAATGCTCAGCATAGTGCTTAGCTCAGTAAACACTGGCTTAAAAGTCCCTGGTCTGATATTACAGTTCCCTAACCCTGCACACAACCTTCCAAAGCTCCTTTTTATATCCTACTATATTTAACATAAATCTATAATCCCCTCCAAATGCATGGTTAAGTGCAGTTAAAGGATGTTAAAAGTATAAGAAAGGGGGCTTAACCTTGAGAAGCTCAGCCTGGGGAACTATTGCATCTTTCATACACTGGCATCTGGTAGCAGTCAACTAACTGGCTTAACCCACCCCATTTTACAATTTTATGGCAATGATGGGATCACCATGAAGGTCCTGATGAGTCCTGTACTACAATGAAATCTCCTCCTCCTAATCTCTAGTTGCAGCTTCTTTTCATGCACTGCTGTCCTAACCGTCTACTGCAGCTCATCTCAACTCTATCACACATCCACCCAATAATTACTACACACCTGCTGTGTGCCAGGCACCATGCAACCTGCTGGAACAAGAGTGGTCCAAACCGACCAGGTCCCTGTCCTTGTGGACTGA